TGTTATAAACCTGACAATTTTTTTTAATCCTGATGAACTTATTTAGATGAGCCCTCTTTTCAGGTTTATCCTTTATTTGTATCAAGAAAAAATGGCCCCTGTATTTATAGTACACAAGGTACTTTTCTGCATGTTTGTTTAAAGCCAGAATCACAGCAAATGACCTTTTGCAGACAGTAACTACTGTATTTCTTATCTGGTATCTGTAAAACATCATTTCCCTCAGTATCCTGGCTTCTGTTCTCCCCCAGTTTCCCATATAGTTCATTCGCATGCTAAAGGAAAGCTCTTTCTAAAAGAGAGACACCTGCTGTAAAATAAACTGATTTTTGTCATGAAAAGCTCTTTTTGCCATGAAAGCATTATTTCCCCCTTGCTAAGACAAAGTTTATATTAAGCACATGCTGGCAAGTCAGAAAATGCTGTGTGGATTTAGGGCAGGCTTTGCTGCTGTCACACAAGGAAGACACATTTGCAGTATCTGGATGGTCAAAAACTCTATGCTACACCGCTGCTTTCTCAGCCACTTTCTTCAGCAGTCTCTTGGTGTGTGATATTATGAATCAATACACATTCTGTACATGATTCTTCTGCTTTGGTGACTAAATTTAACAGTTACTCATCAGTGGCCCAGCATTCTTTAGGTATTCATGGCTCAGCCATGTCAAGACCCTCACTCACTGGACAATTCTAACAGATGTCTTTCCATTATGAGCATCCAAAGTTGACCCAACGTCACATTTCTTGCACAGATATACTGATGGTTTTATTTGCTTGTTTGTCTCAGAGGCACTGCCCAAAAGTTTTCAGAGAGTTACACAGCCCTAGGGCCTCTGATTGTGTGCCCCTACATAAAAAGAACTTAATTGGTCTTTGGTGCCACTATGCCTGCTGCAAAAATATTGAGATGGTTAAGCCACTAATTTCAGGGTTCAAATACCTGACTGGTTACATTGATTATTTGATCGTAGGCAATTAGGAAATCCTAAAGGTGTTTCAGCAGATTAAAGAGAGGTAGCAAGGGAGGAGACATAAGCTTTTACAATAACTGGATGCCCTTCATCAGAACTTCTAGATTGCTGTTGCTTGCTCTCAAGAACAGGTCATGAGTTCAACTATACTGTAAAGTCAGTGGGTCTTCAGATTTGCTGCTGTCCATGCAGAATGGAGTTGAGACTTTCTAGGATCTGACGTTCTCCTCTGTGGTAACCCAGGCATTGTGAGTATTCACAATTATCTGGAAAATTAAGAGGAATGACAGAAAAGACAAATATTACGTCTCCAAGAAAACAATAAACATAGTACTTAAAGCTTGAGTAGGAAAACCTTGGATCTGTCCATTGTGATGTCTCCCCTTGGCATCTCTTGGCAGAATGAACCAAAGTGATCTGGAGAAGAAAACAAAGCAAATACAAAAAACATTGAACAGAAAAGCAAAAGCAAAACAAATATGCAAAACACATATAGGTCAGTTGTAATTATTTCTCCAGCATTCCTCTAAATACATGGTTCTCCCAATTATTATCATCCTGTCAATAAGAATGAAACAGAAAAATACAGAAATACTTTGGAACAAAGCCAAATCATCTTCTCTGAACTATATAGTGAGATATGAAAAGCCCAGCATTTCTGAAATTTTCCAGTGTTCTTTACTACTTTGAAACACAATTGTTTCTCATGGAATGTAAGTTATTCTAATGAAACATATTTGTTGAAACTCTATGCAACATTTCAAGAGAAAGAATGGGCTTATCCAATTGTTACCAAGCTATGCAATAAATATAATAGTAATCTCAAAACAAAATCGAATAAAAAGGTAGGGGGAGGAAAAAAAAGCTTAGAAGTTTGATGATGCATACTTTATTCATGAAAACAATGGCAGAAAGAGGGGGTTATCTCCCCTTTCCACTTCTGAACATTTGAAACATCTGGTTGCCTTCTGTGAGAAGTAAACTGTTGGTCTGGCATGGCTCTTGGATGGCTCCTGTGCAGGAACAATATGCAACTGGCATAGGAGAGAAATTCTAAGGAAAACAATAGAAAGGATTCTGGAAGTTAAAAGGAAAACAGTAGTGAGTAATATGAAAGGATTTTGATTATTTTTAGTATTATGTTTTTTATAATGGCCCTTTCCTACATGAAAATAGGATGAAATGGAGATGCACAGCAATACGGAAATATTGTTATGCCAAGATATTTTTCAGTACAATCTCATTTCTGTTCAGTTATGTCTGATTCTTGGAGACTGTCAAGACCCTGCAGTTTTCTTGGTGAGATTTTTCAGAAGTGGTTTCCCATTGCCTCCTTCCTAGTAGGGTTGAGGGAATGACTGGCCCAAGATCACTCAGCTGGGTTTATGACTAAGGCAGGACTAGAATGCACAATCTCCCAGCTTCTAGCCTTATGCCTTAACCACTACACCAAGCTGACTCTTATAGGTATGTTACTTAGACATAAATCCTATAGATATTGCCTGGGGATGCCTCAATAGTCTAAATTCATTTCTTGAGTATAGTTTACATTTGAATGAAAATCGATTCATATTACAAAGTAGGGAGATTTTTTTAAAGGTCTCTGCATATATGGAATGTGTCTTTCCTTAATAGAGTTTTTTTAAAAAAAAAAAACAGCCTTCTATGCTCCCTGTCCATGATAATCTCATCTCTTGAATAGGCTCTTGTCTACACCTCCAAGAGATGCTTATCTTATCGCAGCTTGAAGAGTGAGCAGTGCAGGAGTTAGGGAAAAGTCACATATTTAGATGCTTTTCCAGCTTTTGAGGGGTTCTTGTTCTGGAAGGATTACTTTTGAAATTATTTTAGCATACTATAGAGTTTAGGTATCTTCTTTTCTGTATAGTCCAAGCTTTAAGTCTGCCTGCCCATTTTTACTGAGATATTTCACCAGTTCTATTCATGTGTTATTTTAAATCACATATTTGTAATGCATTGTTATCCATATCTGGCATAGCTCCCCTATGGTTAAGCATGCATATGAGTGTGGAACAGGTGTTGTTTACCAGAATTTGCAAACACTGGGCTTCTAACGCTGGTCAAATATTAAACCGAAATGGAAATTGCTCCGTTACGATTGCATGAAGGATATAGCCAGAAAACAGCTGTAAGCCATGGTGAAACTGCTGTTCAGGATAGAGTTTGGGCATGGTACATACAGTCAAATCAACTACACAGGCTTGTTTAATGTGTTGTGTGAACATACCCTGTGAACATACCCTCTGTATACCTGATGTGTTCAGCTTTTCTAGCATGGCCTTGTCTCAGTTCTTTTTCCATCTGTCAGGGGACAGTAGAGGCTATTGTAAAATGTGACATTTTATTCAAAAGAATTCACATGTTATGCTTATTGCAATTATTGTACCTTCTTTGGTTATTTCCTGAACTTTATATCATATATCATCATCATCATCATCTCTAGTTTACAGACTTATTTACAGCATGTGAGGGTTGAGATCCAGACCCTGTATTCTGGTAGTTTAGAATTTTGAAGTTTATGGTGCCAGATTGAACTGCAAAATCCTGCACAGAACTCCGATCACAGGATGTTGCTAGTGATAAAAGAGACAAAGCAAGCTTTCTCCTGAAAGCATTGTTAAATCTGTTCTGGAGGCTTGGTGGATTTGGAAGAGTTGTCATAGAATAGATGATGGACTCAGCAAATCCCACCTTCCCCAGATGAAAGTCACTTCAGCTGAAAAGATCCCATCAGTTATTTGTGGAACAGCAAAGTAGACCCAAATCTAAAAAAGAGAGAGTCTATTGCTGAAAGTGGGTGGCCATAAAGTAAAGATTGAACTGAAGATGAAATCATCTTAAAGTATTCAAGCAGTCCAATCCTAAATAAATTTCCCAGAAGGCAGCATGGTGAAGCACCTCCATACTTGCAAGAAAAATGGGTAATGTATCAGTATGTTCACTAAGAACTGGCTCAGTTTTAGGAACTCTTTAATTTTAATCCCCAAAATGATTTCTCAGAAATAAACCCTATTCATTATTCCCAACCATTTCCAAAGATGTGAACAAGACCAAAAATAACTAACTAGCTCTATTCTTGACATTGTGTATGCTGAGCTATTGTACCTTTATGGAAAGTATCTCCATGTGATCCTTTGCTTAGAGAGGTATGTATGCACACTGAATGGTTTCAATGATATCCTTCAGATAAGCCAGTTCTTTTCAGTTCTTCAAGGTAGCCCAGGTTGGGAAACAACTCCACAAAAAATACTAGAAGCCAACTTTATAATAACAACACATTGAAAACCAGACATTGAAAACCCTTCCCCTTTCCTCCCTCTTATATGAAAGAAAGACAAGGTGTGACTGCTGTTAAGATTGTTTTCCACCTTTATTTTGTTTTCCCAGATGGAGCTCATGTTTTGTTAATGGTCTTCATATAACTTCTGCAAGTTCTATGAAACACTGTCTGATTTTCATCTGTTCTCCTCTACACAACCCTTTCATCTCTATCCTGGAGGAATTTTGTGCTGTGTATAAGCCAATACAAGCAACAAGATGATAACAACAATAGCACACATCAGAGATACTCAACAGATATGATGTAGGTAAGATACAGTTGGTATGCCTTGCTCTTTACCACCATTGAAGATGGTTGAAAGATGTTGTTCATAAGGCTTTAATGCAGGGGTCTTCAAACTTGGCCCTTTTACGACTTGTGGACTTCAACTCCCTGAATTCCTCAGCCAGCGTGCCTGGCTGAGGAATTCTGGGTGTTGAAGTCCACAAATAATAAAAGGGCCAAGTTTGAAGACCCCTGCATTAATGTATAATAGAAAGATCCTTTATTATGATTTATTTAACATTCACCTTTGGAAAGTACTTATCTTTTGAGAAGATAAAAGTATCAGGTAAGATCTGAGAACCTACCAGCCAAACTCTGCCTGCACGCTCATCAGGGACACTTGATGTGTAAAGAATCCCTCCCTCAGGGCCTAACTGGCAATATTGAAGCGAATTAAAACAAAATTGACAATGATTTTATTTCCTTTATTTCCAATCAATACTGTAGGAATACAAATTTTCTAGAAAGCTACAAAAAAATCTACCACTTTATCAAGAAGGCATCAAAATGTGTCACTTTGCAAAGACATGAACACCTGCAGTAACCGACACAAAAATAGCATTTTTAGAGTGATGAAATAATTGCACTTAACTGTCATGGATATTAAAGGTATCACACATATGTACCGCGAAAGCTAGAATACATTTTTTTTTACAAAGCACTTTTATAAAAAAATTCTCTGCACACAAACCCTATAATTTTCATATTACTATCATACTAAAGATAAATTCACTTTAAAGCCGACACTTAAAACGTTTTTAAAAACAAAGAAGGTACCAGTACCTACACACAGACAACAAACACAAGAATACTGTACTGCCAAAAGGTTTGATAGAAAGTTGTTTTGAAAACTTCAAAATATGTTAAGACACAATTTGCCAAGGTTCATTTTTCTTTTAAAATAGAGCTTTCCCTCAATGCCCAAGCAAGAGGTACTTTGTCATCCAAGGCAGATTGACTTCCCTATTCCCAAAGCAACCAGCAGCAGTACAATATTAAAATAACCACTGACCATATATGAATATGCTTAAGTCACAAACCCAGTTTATACACATTACACAAATAAACAAAGTGAGAATTCCATTAAGTCATTTACAAATGTGAACAAATGCATGTGTCAAATAAAAACAAAAAAGGAAACAGAAAGAAAACCTTTTTTTACATAAAATGTACTGATATTAAAAAATTAAAGGCTATTCAGGTTTTAAAAACTGTTATAAAATTATTTTGTCTTTTTCAGGCACATATTGTAGGCTTTTCTTTTGCAGTCAGGAGCCTTGATTGAGAGGCCCATGTAAAAGAAAGAAAACAAAATGAGAAACAAAAAGAAAACCACCGTGTGAGGAGGTATGTCCTTTGTGAAGCGAGTACATTTCAATACAGCACAACAACTTTGGGGGAAACTCTCACAGCCATAGTAACTACTCAGTTGGAGAGCAACAAATCCAAATTTACACTGTACTTTCAATTTTTCAGTCTTTCTATTCATGGGAATGGCTGGGAGAAAGAAAACCAAACAAGATTACCATGTAGTCACCAAAATAATAATAGCAATGATAATATTAATAACAATCAACCTGAGACAAAGATGGGAACCAATTTATGTTGTTATGGACATCCCACTTGGAGGGGGACAGGGAGTGATGCTTCAGTGCCACCTCAGGTGCTCCAATCCCTATTTACACAGTTGGAGTGTGAGCATTGCAAGCAATTAGATCCCTACATATTGTAGAAGGTGGAGTGTTCTTCCCTGGATTAGCATTCAGGGAAGTTTCCCAGCTTCAGCAGAAGGCAACACAAGCCATGTATATCTGTCCTACAGAACAGGGATGGGCCAGTTTTTAGCCTGTGTGGATGTCCTTGGTATCTGCATCATGCTCAGGGGCTGTAGAAAGTATGGGCAGAGTGGGGTGAAGCCCCACTTTTCAACCTTGCTTTTCAGTATTAGGCAGAAGCCCATACTGCCTCTTCTACCCTTAAACCCCCCCACCAACATGGGAAGAATGATCCCATTTGGCGGAGGGATTAGAGGACTTTTAGTGGGTGAAATGGGTACAAGGCTTCACCCTTCAGCCCACTATCTCAAAAACTGGATCCACATTTCAGGTCCAGCCATGAGAGACTGCAAATGAGGTGTTGTAACCCATAGGTTGACCGCTCCTGTAGCAGAACCACATATGTGTTGATTGTTTGCATGGGGTTAAAGTCGATTGATTTGTAACTGATTTTCCTAAACTGCCAAAAGACAAGGTTGGTTTAGAAAACATGCCAAACCATGGTTTTCGTTCCCTGTAATCTAGAATCCAAATTATTGAACAGCAACTTTTGCAGGCAGTCTTTTGGAAATACAAAATCTTTCAGGAGGGGAAAATAATGAAATTACATGAAATGTCCATCAATCTTCTCCCTTGCTTCAAGCAATTGTTTGTATTGTTTTGGCCTTCCCAACTAACAGCTTGTGAGATTCGTGGGATTCTGAGATTTCACCTGTTTTTATTTTAACGTGTTTAATTGTGATGTTTAATAATGGCTGCTTCATACTCATCTATGCTGTACTACCAACTCTAGGTAGCTTAATTAATGGTTTGAGATATAAAATATAGTAGGCAAATCATGATTCTGAGTTATTTTGTTTGATTACTATATATGATTGTTCAGAGATTTGACAGTATAGTCTGTGATGCATAGCTTCTGCAGGCTGAATAAGAGACATTTTTACTAAAAGGCCATCAATGCAGATGTTTTATCAAGTATAGAATGAATAAAACATCGATTCATATAGGACTCCACTCTATAATTCTGATTCTGTGTACTTGGAAAATTATTAGATTTCATAAAATTTGGTATTACTTAAAAACTGGTTCATACACTACAATATGATTTATTTTTACTTAGTTCAATGTGGGATCCAAGCCAACATGTTTTATAAATTGTGTGTTATGCTTTAATGTGTAACATAAATCAAGCCAAATATGGCTTATTTGACAATCATGATTAAACAAAAACTTAAATCAGTTACTGTGTGAACCATGTCCAGAACATCATTAAATTTTCTTCCTGGTTTGGCATGATGTCTAAACTAGAAAAAATGAAGCATACCCTAAGAGTTGAGCCAAGACTGTAAAATTTACCACTTTGCAGTTTTTGAAATTCTATAAATCACCTTCATATTCTTGGTTGCCTTTGTTCCATTTAATTGTCTCTGTTACTTGAAGGTGATAAAAACAGGAAGATTGAGTTCAAGGGAGTTGCCAAACTGAATGGACTCTAGTAGCAAGTGAGAAAATAGATATCAAACTTGCAAATTACACAACATAGTGGTACAGTACCTAAATAAGCCATTCTAGAATTCAAGTAAGTATAAAATTACATTTGTAAAAGCTATGTTTCAACTGCAACAACTTGTACCATTTCTTTTTCTCTCAATTTTATACATAAGACAATAAATAAAAATGATTCCTTTGCAATAAAATATACTCCACCCACTTCCTTACTTATATCTGTCTCAGCAGATATATTTAATAGTTGTAAATATATATAGTTTACTTTTGAGGCCAAACAATCCTTAGTGGATTAGATGCAAGAAGAGAGTGAGGGAGATTTAAATCTTTGAAGAACAAGAAAATTAATATGAATGCAAGTGAAAGAGAGAGGGGGAACAATCACAAATGTTACCACTTTGTGCTGCACAATAATTTTTTTTTAAAAAAAAACTATTAAAACCAGAATAGCTACAATTCCCTCTGCCAACTTTTGGTTTTACTGCTATCAGTTTTCTCATGTGTGTGCGTCTGCATGTATACACATATGCACACATGCCTTCTTGAATGAGTACATCAGTATCAACGTTGTCAATGCCTCTTGAAATAAGTGTTATTCTTCAAATTCACAAATCGTGTTAAATGGCACCCTTTATTTAAAGAAGCTGCCTGTCTAGTAGTGTGACAGTAACAGACTGAATAATACCAGTCTAAAGGATTTTCCAACAATATTTCTTACTCATTTCTCAAAAAAATGGTGCCAAAAAGCATGGGTTAAATGACAGAAACATTTTGACCCATGTTTTTCAATTTTAGACATCTGATTGCTCAAGTTTGTAAACAAAATAAGTGCAAATTTAAGATGGAGAAAAACAGCCATCTTCACAGAACGAGTTAGTACATTAATAAAATCACATTTGTCCTTTGCTTAATTTTCTGCTAATTATGAAGAAATGTCAAACTGGATGGAGAAAGACATGGCAAAGGTGAAATACTGATTTTTTTTTTAATGCTAGTTATCAAAGCCTCAGAAACAAGAGGGAAATTAAATTTCCAGAATTATGCACTCCTGTGATTTGAAAAAAGCATGCTAGTATAAAAAGATACTCTTTTGAGAATGGAGGCCTGTTAGTTTTGACTGTGTCCAATAAACCAAAGGCATTATGGTGATCTCTAAATATTTTTGGTCTCTACTATTTGTCATTATTATGGCAGCACTTTTCTAAGCTGGAACTTCAAAACCAAAGGCACTTGCATGCAAGAGTGCAGAGTCACAAACTAAGTATTTGGTCATGAGAATTGGAAAAGGCAGCATTATTTATACAATTCACTTTCTGCAGAAAATTCTAGAGCTGTTTTGTTTCATTTTGGTATAAAGATTCCAACTATGTAGCAATGGGGACTGACTTATCTAGGAAGGTTTCTTTTGACCAAAAGGGTTTCCTCTAGGAGATTATTCTTTTTATACATAAATAAACCAAATTAATGGACTACATATGATTGGCATGATAGGCTAGAAGGTACTCCTACTATAGCACTAAGGCACTGCATACTGTAATGCTTTGGCAGCTTGGAATTAAGAAGTTCCTACCACAAATAACAGTAACAAGAGAGATGCTTCCAGCTTACAAAAGAGCTCACAGTTGCCAGGCAGCTTTTGGGGACCACACATTCCACACAAAACCTTTGACAGACTTAAGGCTTGAGGAAGAAACATGCTCAGGGGATGAATCGTTTACATCCACAAATAAGTGACTGACAAGGCAAACAGTTCCCCATACATTTTTACAAAAAACGAACATCAAGAAACATCAGGATGCTTCAGACTCTATAGTCATTACATACGTTATGTTGCAGGAGGCATTATCAGAAGAAGAAGAAGAAAAACGGTGCCTACTTTGCAAACTGTTCTGTTTCATGTGTGAAAAGTGACCCTAATGTTTTAAAACTTTTTGTTCCCCCTAAAATAAATCTATCCATCAAAACCAAAAGCCTTATAATATTTGACTGTTAAAAAGAGAATTTTAGACCTGTTTAACACCAAGTGCTTCAAATAAAGGGCTCCTCCTGCAGTGCTTCTATTAGATACTTTGCTAGTGTTAGAAACAGGTGAAGACACCCAACCATAAATGTTTGGTTCTAGTGCTCTCAGACAAAATGACTGACAGCACAATCCTGTGCATAGCTACCTGGAAGTAAGTCCTATTTATTTCAACAGGATTTACACCCAGTTAAGTGTGTACAGGATTGCAGCCCAAGAGGTTCATCTGCCTTAACATCTATTGCTCAGTTTACCAAGATGCTCAGTTTACCAAGCCTTCCAATGCTCTAAGTCTTGGCCTTCCATTCTACTGCTGGCCTAACCTCCTACCTTTGTGAACGCAAATGTTAGAAATGTTTGAGGAACCCTGTGCTGTAACAATCCACCAGACGGGTGAATGTAATCATGGACAGAAGGCCACAGCATTATGTAGCCTTCCAGATGTTAAGCACCACAATCTTTCTTTAACAATGAAGTAAAACGCAAACTTCCAGATGAACTGTACCTTGATACATCCTCACAGACTTTAATGCACATGTATTTAATTGTGAAAGCTTTATTAACACAGTGCCTAAAATGTTATAAATAGTATTTACCCCTAAGAGTGACTCCAAAATTTCAAAACTGTAGGGAATTCTGACTCCAAGAGCAGCAACTATTGTTGTTCTATCATGAATGTAAAATCAATATGAAGGAGGAAAGTGTCCGTATTTCTTTCCAGAACTTTTCTCAATTTTCAGCTTTGGATAGCTGGAGGCTAAACTTTCATTCTAAATGCCTGAAAAAGTCCCAAAACCCAAATCAAAGAAACCTATATTTAGAATGGGAACTATGAAGCAGAACTGCCAGGTGCAAGAACACCCACACAAAAGGGCTGGGAGGGGGTGTAGTGACAAAATGTGCAAATTGACATCATGATGGAAAAATGACAACTTATGTCCTTGTCTCAGATGTTGGAATGCAAATATGTGAGGATGGAAATTGCATTCCAACATTTATCTACTGCCATGCTTCTAGGAACCTCTCAAGTAAATCAGATTCCACAAGTGAAGAAACAAAGACAGACTGACTTGTTATTTGTAGTTAATATTTTTCTGTGCCAGCATTTCAAACCAGCAAGTTGAATTATGGCACATAAGGAGATGGCTTAGAATCAGAGTAGTTGCTTAAAGCATGTATCTAACCATCTTGTGAGCATGTACCCTTCCTAAATTGCATGTCTTAATATAATGTTGATTAAGCAACATTTCAGCCTTGCTCATGTCTGAAGACCTAGACTTTGTACATAATATGTTACTGAAGGAAAAAACAATCCCCACATAGATACAATCAGATTGTGTGCCTAAACAATATGAAATATAGTGTATCTAAAAAGTGGGGGAAGCTCAGATAAAAGGAAATTGTAGTACAGGATCCAAAATGAAGAGATTAAGTGTAGATCGTGTGTAGAAAGCTCTAGGCAAATAATCTGTTCAGACCTTTGGCACGAGCGCTGTGTTCCTTTTCCTGACAAACAGAATTGTGGACAGGAAAAGAAAAACATGGATAATGATCAACAAGACGAAGGATAGAGCCAAATATTTTGAGAAGTCTACAAAAGAAAAGTTGGTCACAAATTCAACCATCAGTGCTGGTTGGATATTCAGAGAATTATAATCCAACCCATCTGAAGGGACATAAGGCTGGGGAAAGCTGTATTCATCATGGCAATTTTAAGACACAATCTCATTAAGACAGAGTCTACCAAGCCACTTGTAGCTCCCCAAATATGTATTCTGGGCAGCCAAGTGCTTGACAGCCCTCAGACTGATTCCAAATTTTCAGAGAAGGTGAAAGGATATAGCCATGTGCTGGCATTATATATAGAAGGTCCAGTCTTGACTCTTATTTTTATCTATCTATCTATCTATCTATCTATCTATCTATCTATCTATCTATCTATCTATCTATCTATCTATCTATCATCTATCTATCTTTAAAAAAAAGCTTGATATCCTAGAGCAGTGTTTCTCAATGTTGGCAACTTTAAGATATGTGGACTTCAACTCCCAGAATTCTCTAGCCAGTACACAATCCTAGAGAATAACTTTCAATTCCTACTGACAAACCTGAGCTAGGTGAAACAGTGATCTGAGTCAGTGTAAAACAGTTCTGAAATATATTAAGCCCTTAATGTGGCTTCCACGAATAGCTGATATTTTACATATGTAGCCTGGTGGATCACACTGAGCAAGATTAGCTTAAGGAAACCAGTCAGTCTTTTGTCAAAGTCAGATATTTCTAGGATTCTAAAGACATTAAAACAGATGAACCTTTTGTTTTAGACCTTCTATTGTTTTTTTTTTCAGTTACAATAATTGTTGTGGCTTTTATCTGACAATGTAATTAAAAAAATAGCACTTTCAAATCCCATATAATTGGTAATTTGGGTGTTGCAATTTCTTGAGTTGTTAAGAAAAACAAAACAAAACCATTTCATATAATATATAATCACGCACACAGGATTACATACACTGTAAGTCTAATCTTTCAGTATTTGTCTAGTTATTGCAAAACGAGCCATCTTTTAATTAAATAATCAAATGTCCTTATTAGTACAAATATTTTATATTTTAATGCACTAGATAAAATTAGTAAAAGAAAGGAAGTCTTCTCGCTTTGCAATACCTGCTTGAAAGTTTCAGTGAATTAGAATATTAGTTTTAATATAGAGGGAAAGAAAAAAAAATATATTTTGCCTACTTTAAGGACCTGTCCATTCCTATCAGGCATTTCTTAAGGCTAAGTTTGTCATTTGGCTTCAAACAGAAATTGAGTTGCAGTATAAAATAATTTAGTGATTTACATTCGTCTGCATTTTCCACAGTAATCAGTTAGGAAGATACTTTTTTTAAAAAAGAATTTGTGTGCTAATTTATGCTTAGTCAAAATTCATTCTTGCACCTTAGAAACGTGATTTTATTAATTTAGGCAAAACACCTCATAAATTCTTATAACTGCTGTTCAGCTTTTCCATGGCAATTGCTCTGTGTTACATTTTTCTAACACAACAAATTAAAACTTCCACAAATTCTTAAATATAGTCTCCCTCCAAAAGGGTGGCTTTATAAATTTAAAGAACACTTTGTTTTAAGAAAGAATTTGTACAACTGTACCAGAATTTCACAGCTACAATATTTATCAACACACTCCCAATGAGGTTTAGAAAAATGTTGGGGACAGCTCAGCCAAAGAAAACTGCCACTTAGTGTTGAGGTTGACAGTCTGTGTTTTTGTAAGAAGTCATATTGAAAAGGTGTCTATAAATAACTGTTCAGTCCTTTACAAGCCTGTAGATGTGATGCTGTGCTCCATGTTCACTGTTTGAAACTTCAAATACACAAGCCATGCAAAGGAGCGTTTCTTGAGTGTCCCTGTTCGTTACAACCTGTTTGGGTTTTTTTACATGAAAAAAGAAAAGAAAAGAAAGAAAGAAAGATGACATGTTAGAAACCTGTATATTGCCATAGAGACACAAAAATAAAGGATATAATTTCAAAAGCAGACACCTTTTTTCATTTTGTGTATCAACAAATACATATTTCTAAACTCATCCAGTCTGTTAAACAAGCAGTTTATAAGTTAGATTTTTTTTCAGTTCTACCTCTCTGACATAGTTTGCACATGAGAACAAGGCAAAGTGGAATTGGTTCAAAGTCAAATTCTGAAGGAATATTTTTGGAATTTTCTTAAGAAAATACTAATTGTTAAACCATGTCCCTTAACTAGTTAAAAAAAAATCTGAAGCATCCATGAATACAAAGAGGTGGGAACATAACTAGTTCCTTTTTCTTCTGCAACCTTTCTCCAAAATTTGCTCCAGATGTTTTGAGATATCTTTGGGAATAGCATGAGGGCTAATAGCATGGAAGCTTTCATAAAGATTAAAAAAACAGTTCACAGATATTTTCTACTTTTTGAAAAGAGAATAAAGATAAAGGTTTCCCCTTCCAGTTGTGACTGACTCTAGGGGGCAGTACACATCTCCGTTTCTTAGCCAAAAAAAGTCATTGTTGTCCAAGGGCACTTCTGTGGACACATGACCAATGTGACTATACTCCGAGGCACATGGAACACTGTTACCTTCCCACCAAAATGCTACCTGTTTATCTACTCATTTTTGTATGCTTTTAAACTGCTAGATTTGTAAGAGCTGCAGCAAATAATGGGAGCTCATATGTGGCACTCGGGGCTCAAACCCAGGGTGTCAGCTTTCCAGCTGACAAGCTCAATATCTCTAAGTGCTACGCTATCGTGGCCCTTAGAAAAAGAGAGAATATAATAATTCAATTGTAGAACCACCTAACTTTTTAATAACCTGTTTCATCCTAACATTTGGAAATCTGAATTTCCAACCACATTTTGAATGGAAGAAAACCTACTAAAACTTAGGATTTTGGAACTGTTATAGATCAGTTCCATTCTATCTATCTTGCTTTAAAGCCCCAAGAGGATACACACAGCTACTCTCTTCTACTGCAAGCTCAACAGATGGCTTCTCTACATGTCTAAAGTGCTCAGAAAGGGGGTAGATTTAGAAGTATTGGAGAAGAGAGGCAAAGCAAAGGTGTAGTAAGTTACATAGATGGATCTGAATTATATCAGATGTCCTGGTATCCAATCTTCCTAAGTTCTCAAGAATTTCAGGAGCTTCTGAAATACAGCCTATTGAAAATAGATAGCTAATACCAAACATTGCTTGAAATGAGTAAACTGCCAAATGCCGTAAGGAAACATTACCTTCCTTGCACTTGGTACTAAAGAGGTGCCAGCTTCTTCCCCGAATCCCACTCCATCATTCAAAATACTATGAGATAAACACATTGGGTACCCAGTCCAAGGAAAACATGTAAATTCCACTGCTAACATAATTAGTAATCACATTAGATCTGAAAGTGTATAACAGGGTTATGTGAATGTCGGTATCTCATTCCCATTAGCCTTCACAGATGAGGGCTAAGAGAAAGAAGTACAGGTTGCTACAAGTATAAACACAAGCAACTTTCTACCATAAAGGCACAAATTGGCCTAAATTCACATGTAATATTAAGCTGTAATTTGCTTTTTGTTTCATTTAGTGCCCTGTGCAACCATTCAATTGTGCCTTGATTTCATATTTGGAGTAGGCACAATGGCTTGTTCAAAAAAAAAAAACATGTTTAAAAATCCTAGGTTAGTGTTGTATGGAATTCAGTTTTTGCCTCCTACAAATTTTTATTAAAAATAGTTTCAAATATTGTCCTATTAGGCAAGATTAAAATCAGAACCCTCTTTTGAAATGACATACATTTCAACCGAAGGACGTGGCATTTGTAACTCATTAAAACCAATCATAGGAAACATCTATCTCCTCCCAACATACTCCAGAGAACAGTGAGCAAAGGGAAGAAAGTTATTACCAACAAAATTGTAAAGTTTTCCAGCACACTGTTCATCATATATTTCTCTGGTAAATGCTTGAGCTTGTGGATGAAGTTGATCATATATTCACACATTGGTGAGCGGTTTATTCTAAACACAAACCGCCCATTCTCGAACCGTGCATATTCAGTCTAAGAAGAAAAACAAAAAGAAAGTTGAAAATTGAACTACGGTAGGTATTTCAAATAATTATTTAAAAATCATTTGATTTTCCCATTAAATTAAACCAGTGCTTAGATATGATAAATTAAATACTGTAATAGCATGACAAGTCAAGAGTATTTATTTAGACTGCACCCACCCATGGAATTCACTTCCTCTCCCTCTGCAACCCGATACAAATCTTCAACTGTCTAAAATAGATTGGGAAGACCCTCTGAAGAAATCTAGAGGCTAGGGGTGAGTATCAGGAGAAAATATAAGAAATCAGGAGAGCAAGGGAAACCCCATTTGCATAAAATGAAATTATTCATATATTGTCAACCGTGGCTCTTACTTAATTATATAATTCTACTGAATTAAACAAACAATGGAGTTGTTACATTATCATAAAAGATATATTGGAAAATACTGCATTATTTAACCCATCATCTTAAGCTTGGATAATCGCAGTAAGCCAAAATAAGAATAGCACAACACTCTAATGCCCACGAGAAGCCAATCCCAATTTAATTTAATAATTTTAAATTTTACAAGCCACAGATGCATTTTTAGCAACAAGCCACACTGTTATAGTCTGTTTGGCTGCCAAATGAAGCTCCATATACAGTGCAATGGAAAAGTGTATTTAACAGAATGCCTTTGGTGCAGATACTATATCATCATTCATATTTTATCAGTTGAAAACATTAAGGAAGATTTTGAAATATTCCCTGTTCAGTATGTGGTGAGTCCTCAAATCTATAAAACAGATCATCCATAGTCCCAGGAATTTAGGTAAGATTTCTTAATTCTTGATCTAAAAACAAGTATATCAGGAGCCTTGTTGGCACAACAGTTAGAATGTGATATTGTAAGCAAATTCTGCCCACAGCCCCAGCGTTCAGTCCTGATGGAGCTCAAGGTTGATTCAGCCTTCCATCCTTTCGAAGTCAGTAAAATGAGAACCCAGACTATTGGAGGCAATGTGCTGACATTGTAAACACCCAGAGAGTGCAGTAAAGCACTATGGCAGGAGTCTTCAAACTTGGCCCTTTTATGACTTGTGGACTTCAACTCCTAAAATTCCTCAGCTGGGTACACTAGCTGAGGAATTCTGGGAGCTGAAGTCTACAAGTCATAAAAGGCCCAAGTTTGAAGACCCCTGCAATATGGGGCAGTATATAAGTCTAAGTGTCATTGCTAAGCCCTATAAAATGATTCGGCAGAGGAAATATGTAGGCTAAAACTAGAATTTTAGACTTCTCCAAAAATAGTGAAAAAGGCTGTTACAGGGATGCATGCTTACATGTCCGAGACACAAAGAGATTTCATAACGAGCAAGCTGCAGTGCAAAATACTACTGGTGCCAAATAGCCAGACTGCTTTAAGCATTTTAAAGGGCACTCATTAAAGAAAATTCTCCTCGCAAATTAGTTCAAGTTGAATAGCAAGGAGCATATTCCACTTCCCTAGTCAGTTTTTTCCCCAAAAGGATACCTAAGAACCTGGAAAAAATGTACACCACAACAATTTTATATTAACACAACTGTAGATGCATTGGTTCAGATGTACAATTTGAAAAAAAGGCATTTTTTTTTTAAAAAAGAGAAGTATGAGATGGCAACAATAATCACTACCTCTACTTTTTCCACCACTTGCTTTCCGAATGAGCAGACTTTGGTGGAACAGGTGATTGTCATGTTTTCTGAACTTTCATATTGACTAGTTACACCATAGAATGCTCCTGTATCATCTTGGATGTTGCAATTTAAATCCGCCTGTAAGAAAAACAGCATTTATATAAGAAGCAATTAGCAATTAGCATTCTCCCTTTATGCAGGCTACTCTGGAACCACAAACAGTCCAGTTGTATTCAAAGTAATATATCACCTTGACTCTCACTGCAGGTTTGTTTGTTGCCAAGTGACTTTCCACTGCAGTTTTGAAAGACAGGGTTATTTCATTTAAGGTTTGGATTCAAAATTGCTGGGCCATAAAAGCTTTTGACTATTTTAACTATCCAGTTTCTAATTTAAAGAATTAAGAAGATATAGCTATTCAATGGGAAGAATATCTCTTTTTCCCCCCCAACTTGAACTGGATACATATAAATAAGCCATCCTTTGAAATGAAAAGAGCTAGAAATATATACAGCTAGCCCCTTATTATGCTTGGAAATAAGATTTTAAAGAGAACATTCAATAATTCCATATGCCAATAATGAATCATATCATACACTGTATTATAATCCATCACAAATAATGATAACTTCCCAAACTCAGGTGACACAAGTACAGGTTAGATCACTGGGAATCCAATTTCTTATAATTAATTTAATTATAGCAACTTGTAAAAATAGCTCAGAGTGTTTACTGATAAAAATTCACAGGCATTAAAATATAGCTACTGTACATGTCATATGTCATTGAAGAGTAAGGAAGATTGCCCGATATTCTTCAACACACCCACTGAAAATTGCAACCACACCCTTTGAAAACTTCTCAGCAGCTCACAGAGAAGAGGACACTGGACAACCTGTTGTAGAGTGTAAATACTTACACAAAACAAGAATAAGGACACACTAGCATATGCTTGGAGAAAGTATGTGAACATTTGCAGGAAAAATCTCCTATTCAAATCCTCCCATCCAACACCACACTTATAAAACACAGCAAAGATAGAATGTTTTTATAATATAATAGAACTATCCAAACTTTTTGCAGACAGCGCTGTCTGGAGAAATTAACTGAGATTTTATCATAAAATGGAAGATGCTCCATAGATGATTGGTAGCACTTGTGATAGATGGAGGTAATCCCAGAGAACAGTAAACTTCAGAGGTTAAAAAACAAAGAAACTGACTGCACGGAATTAGAAATTTATCTTGAGTACTTATTATAATTCAGGATTATCCTTCACCTCAATTCTTTTTCACCTCAAATTTCTCAAACAAAAGTGATGTATTCATCCCAGAAACACATAGTTCTCTTTTAGGCTCAGCACTCAAATATTTTCCTTTCCAATTTTCTCCTGAATTTTGTTAACATGCAAGACTCCCAGTTATATTTTGCAACTCCCCTCTCAGTGACTGATGCTAGGACATTGAACTGATCTTTAAAGTTGTGGCAGTTGCAGCACCCCGACAGTTACATGATTGTAATTTGGTCACTTGGCAACCAACTTGTAAATATGATGATTGCAGCATCTTCCAGTCACATGATCACCATTTGTGACTTTATCGCCAGCTTCCAACAAGCAAAGTCAATGGGGAAGCCAGCAGGAGGTCACAAATGGTGACCACATGACTTCTCATTTAACAACCACAGAGGATTTGCTTAACGATTGCAACCAGGCCTGCAGGAACTCTTGTTGTAAGTCAGTGTGGTCATGTGACATCACACTTTAAAAGTGGAGTTTCCACTTAGTATTGTTAACTGTGGACTTTCCTTCTCCTCAAATAAGTTATTTCTAATCTCCACCCTCACCCCACTAACTGTCCCATTTCTACTGACTTTTTCTTTTATCTGGCAATTGGTGTATATCAGTGGTGGAATTCAAATATGTGAATAACCGGTTCTCTGTGTGGATGTCGCTTCCGGAAGTCCATTCTGGGCCTGGGCAACAAAAAATTTGCTACCAGTTCTGGCAAAGTGGTGCAAACTGGCTGAATCCCAGCACTGGTGTATATCCTCCTTTCATAGGAAAGGAAGTAGTAGGAGCACATTAAAATAAAGCACAGCCCTCTGGCCATCTTTTATCTTGACTTCTTAAGAATGTGAGGCCTAGAGGAATTATGAAGAATAAAGACAATGATTGCTTTGTGTTGAACCACTCCCAGTAACACACCTTTACTATAAAATCAGCACAAGTTCAGGAAGTGATATTTGTATTGCAATGATGCCCAAGGTACAGCATTACCCCTTTTTTCCAATTGTATTAAAAGGCACAAGTGAAGTAAAGGAAAAAGTATAAGATCAGCCTGAACCTATTTGTATGAAATTTGTAGTTATGTTTATAAAAGAAGGGATCCCTGAGGATTTTACTCTGCTGGCCATAGCTGATTTTAGGGGGTGGTTTTCATCCTCATTTCTAGGCCATTGAGCACTGTTCAAAGATATATCTGTGATCATGTGGCCAGCATGACATCATGGAGCGCTGTTACCCTCCCAAAGTAGTACCATTCATGTAATTGCATTTACATGCTTTCAAACTGCTAGGTTGGCAGCAGTTGGGGTGAGAAATGGGATATCACTCCATCATGTGGTGCTCAAGTCTTGAACCTGGGCTGATGATGTCCCAGCCAACAAGCCCAGCATCTCAACCGCTGAACCATCGTGCTGCCTTCATTAATGTTTGTGCTCCCACATTATTTTAATAATCATGAATACAGGGGCCCAGAGATTGGCATTTGAAGATTTGGGGTGGCTTTGCATGTATTCCTGTCACTAGTTAGTTAACTCCAAAGAGAAAGAATTTGAATCTAACTGGAAGAGAAGTATCATTACTGAGATTTCCTCAGCAATGCATCTTTTTGCAAATCTTCATAGGACTGGTTATTCAAAGACCAGACATTCAGATCTGAATAACTATTTCTAGTTTAGACTGCAACATGTGTCTTGTAAAGCAGATGAAAAAGCTTTACAGACGGACCACATTTTTATTAAGAACATTTTATTAAGAACATTAGATTAAAATAAGTATGAAAAAGTGATGTAATATAATCTTTGTTTCCTACTGCCACATGACCCCACCATTATTTTTTTTCTAGTTCTACCACTAGTATAATTTTAATATAGTAGAGTCTCAAATAATTTGCTATGGACTCTTCCTAAGAAATAGTGAAATCAATCTGCTATCAATCTGCTGTCACAGTTGAGTAAATGATATATCTGAACATAAGGACAGCTGTTTTATCAGGTAAAGTCATCTTACTATTTTTTAAAAAACATTGTATTAAATATATTTATTCTGTGGTGTATGAATCATCTTTCTATCTGGAGTAGTCATTTTGGTCACAATGGCAGATCTGTTTTTATTGTCAGAATATTATTGGTCTTAGTCACTATCTTAAGTAGCAATGCTCTTGAGGTAAATTATCATCCTGTTTTCATCATTCCAACATGTATAATTTAGAGCAGGGGTCCCCAACCTCTGGGCTGAGGCCCACTACTGGGCTGTGGTCAATTGGGCCAAGTGAGTGGCTGGCCAGAGAGTGCACACACAGCTTTACTTGCACAAGTGATGCCAGGCCGCTGCTTGTGCAGGCCAGTTCCCCTCCCCCCCCCAGCTGAGCTGCCAAGATGCAAAGGTTGGGGACCGCTATCTTAGAGGCCTCATGCTGAGGAAAAGATCATAAAACCAAATCATGTATGGGATTCTAGAAATACTAGCAGGAGGCCCACTCTTCAAGAGGTGCCTCTTTGAGTTTAAGTATACTGTATTAGACAACTATTATCCCATATATGCTTTCTCTTTGGAAAGAACAGGTGAGGGAAAACAGCTTCAGAGAATGTTGTGGAAAAAAACATTTTCTAGATTGAAGACAGTCAGGATTCTGACCTAGGCATAAGACTAAAACTGCAGTGGTCACCCTCAAGGATCATTGGCGGTAAGGTACGGATGATGGGAGATGATTACTCTTGTTTTTCTGGAATACTGTTGGTCACAGTATCCTTTAAAATAGCTAAGAATTGAGGAAGTTGCAGGCATCATTTTAAAGTTCCAGTTAATTGTTGTGAGGGGAGAGTTGGGGTTAGGCTTTTCATTATTAGGATTAGGTTTAGGGGAGTTTCTGGTGACATTGCTGCAACATGGGCGCTGGGGAATGAAGCTCCGTTCCCCAAGCCCGATTTCTACCAGCTGGAGAGTCCAATAGAACTGAAAGTCGCCCCGTAGAGGCGACTGGTCAAAGAGTGAAACTTCGCAGATCGTGGGCCAGCGATAGCTGACCCACTTGATCCAAAGCAGCCCTTGGGGACAGCAAGAAGAAAGGTTGACCACACCCATGCGGTCAGCCAGAAGCCGCTGATCATCAGAGACAATGAATTCTAAAAAGCAGAAAGCAAAACAGCTGATCCAGGTGAGACTACTTTCCTTATCTCTCTACAAGTGAAAATACCGGTTCTGGGAAAAAGCATTCAAAAGCAAGAAATCCCCAAACTTTCTTTACCCCTCCCTCCTGAACTATAAGTGGCAGTTTAAGCTTAGGGGAAATTAAAACTGACTGTGAAGATAGATAGAGGCATAAAAGAAGGATAATTTGGGAAACTTTTGGATTTATAAATCTTTTTGTTTTAATTCCTTGTTTGGAAACCATTGGATTTTAACTTTTTTAAAAGTATGGTGGGAATGGACATCTAATGACATTATTAGGATTAGGTTTCAGTTAGGGCAAAGTGCAATGCTCCATATGTTTACTGGGCAGTCTCACTGTTGCCCTGTAATACGACTGCTGTGGGAGCCACATTGATGATTTCTAGGCACAGTTGAAGGTGCTGAGGCTCTCTATATGATCCAGGAGATGAGTTTCTTTGGGACCAGGAGATTTTGTCCACTCAATCATCTCAGCTCCTTAATTTAGTCCATTTAGTACTGAGTTTGCATGAATACTAATACTGAAGCTTATACAAAATATATTTTCATCAGCGTACTTCTTGAAAGTTTTGGATGCTACTTTTTTCTATTTCTGTTATGTTGGCTAGTATATTTACAAAAGTACGTTCAAATTAAAAAGGCGAAGGTGGAAGAAAAAACATCTTAACATCTAAATCTAATCCAA